TTTAAGGGAGGCTGAGAAAGAATTATTCCCGTTGTAGGAGCTAAATACACACACGCATGCAATTAAGAAATGAACCATTTAATTGGCTTAAAGAAATGTGGCATTTGATTCAGCCGCACCAGGTCAGAGACTGAAAACAATAATAAAATGTAGAAGAAATTGAAAATTGACTATTCCTATTCAAGAAAAGCAATCTATTCAGAAAGAGGTATACCGATAGCGTAATAAATTTCACAGGACAAATTTAGTTTTGTAGCGAAACGCTTTTAAGAAAACTACAATCTTTTAAAAATAATGGACCCTACTGCTATTTACCATCTTTCACCAAATGATATTGCTATATTATCTCAATGCTATATTTTAATATACAACAATAGCATGCAAAATTCTTTGTGATTACTTTTACTTTAATTTCCTAATGTGGTTTCGTTTAGAACAAAGAGTTATATGTATCAATTCATGTTGTTAACCTAATTGTTTTGACACCAAATACTCTAATACATCAGTACGTTTCTAACCTAAATAACCAAGAATAATACTAGTCAACAATAAAGCTGCTTTGTTTTATAAATTAATATTTATATTCCTGCACAGCGGAAAATATGAAAAATCGTTTCCAATCGATGAGATAGAGTTTCAGAAAAGTTCAATAGGCAGTAATATGTATCAGAATTAAAATTATTATGAAGCATAATTCTTCATAGAAGACAAAATTTACTATTTTTTAATAATGATCCCATCCCATCCTATAATCTGGTAGTTAGAAATGTTCTATTTTCCAACAACCTAGTAAGTGGTACAAGAGAGATCTTTGTTAGTGGTAATTTCCTAAAGTCCTAGATTATAGGTTTTAATCAAACTCCACAAAAAGACATTATTCTATTAGAAAGTGTCTATAGACAGTTTGTGTAACTCTATTATTTCATATCCTTTCCCCATTTGTGATACCTTTATTCAATAATATAACCTGTATCCTTAACGTCGAACTCTTGAATTCATTGTGGCAGGTTAATTTAAAAAAGCTGAAATAAAGTGTAAAATTAATTATATAACAATTGTCTACATACGTAATGCAATGAAATCTAGGGACTCAACTTATTTATAAGCAATGTTAAAGAGCAAGATCCAATATTTTTGTGAATAACTCACAGGAGGATGCTATAGATACCGATTTACATAAACAAGCTTTACAAAAGCGTTCGTCTACTGTAAAAAATTCAGCGTTTGTGATGTATTGATTTTCAATGAAAAACACAATTTATTGATGAGCTGGAACCTCTTCAGCTGGTATAGATAATTTCGGGTTCTATTGAAACACTCTGTACGAAAACGTTCTGTTCTTTTCCGCAGTCGGGAAGAATTAACCCTCAGTCAATATATTTCGTTTTAATGGAATAACTCAAAAGAATTGTATTAATTTTTTTTCATAGATTTAGATTTCTCAGTAATGAGGAGAATACTTGGATGTTGGTATCAGAAATACAATGAGGATCACTCACACCAATAATGTTTACAAGTTCTACTGGATAGTGGACCACCTCCTCTGGGATTGTCCTCTTATTTTGTCTTCTCCGTGTTATATGAAAAATTTTCACATTATTATAATTATTATTATTATTATTATTATTATTATTATTATTATTATTATTATTATTATTATTATTATTGATTTCAACATTAGTATGGAGCTAAAATTAATGTCTTGCACTACCAAAAATCGTGTTTTGTGTTTCGTATATCCGATGTCCGGATATACAACCTTGGCGGTATGACTTCAGCAGACAAAAGACATCCACAAGAAGAGTACCTATGCTATGTATAATATACCAAATGAAATTATTTAAAAAGTTGGACACAATTTTACACTTGATTCTAAACTACAGATAAAATTTCAATTGCATGATCGCTCGAATTGTAAAAAGTAAAGATATTCTAACGTGTGTACGCTCTTAAGCATTAGACAAAAGGTAAAAAATATGTATAAATAGTTGATATGTGTCCTAATTCCCAGTCTCAGGAAATTTGTCCATTAAACCATCACAAAAATTGTTGGATATTTTCGAATTTCGAACAACATGACAACCCAATTCTACAAGCTCTATTTCTACATACGTATTCATATCAGCAGACAGGAACGACAATGTTGTTAGTACTTTTAGCGTATATTTGCTTCTCGGCATTGAAAGAGTGGGATGTAATTGGAATGGATGTCGCCCGAAGATTAATTTTGCCTTGCATTCAGCAAGGGTCAATGTATGTAGGGTCATGCGTGTGACATGACACAATAAAAGTTTTTTTATAATGTGATTTAAGGGTAGAAGAGGACTTCTTATTGACAAAAGAAAAACAATAGCTATATTAAAAAATTGTTTTAATTCAATTTGATAGAAATGGAATTTCGAACGATGTAATCTATGACTAAGAATGTGTGTGCGTTTTTCGACTACGACGTACTATTACTGAAGCAAACAGGGTATGTCCACGACGAGGCTCGGTTCATGTAATCAAAAATCTAGGCGTCCACGATGACGGCGGGCGCCCCGATTGTTACGCCGAGTGCGCGCCCTAGTTCTGGGCGGCCGGGGTCGGCGTGGATGGGTCGGGGCGGCCACCACGGCGGCGGGCGATCGGGGGCGAGCGGCAAATCGGCGGGGCAGGCACAAGGCGGGCGCGGCCAAGCAGGCCGGGGCGGCGTGTGGGGGCGGCCCACGAGCTAGACGACGATCTGTAATGCAACGCGACATCCTCTAAAGCTGACAGATCCTTCAACGTGCCGCGCTTCCTCATCTTACCCTCATGCCAAGCCCTCTAGGCCTGCGTCCCACAGTTGAACATGTTGAGGCGGAGGGGCTGAGGTGCACAGTGCCAGGCGAGGGGCAAAGCCTCGTATATATAGGCGGAGGCCGCCCCCTACTACAGCGCTACCACTACTTTGTCTAGCCGATGAAACGATTAGTTCTAGGACGACGAGGTAAGCAATCGCATGGTATCATAACGCATTCAATATCGCAGGGTCTCAAGTCAGGCCAGATCGATCTGGAGATGTTTCTTTCGGCAAAAAATCTATTAATAACTTTGGTGCTAGAATTGTTCACAGATGGTGAGGACAGACGGATGTGTAGACGGACCAACATTTTGAATAATAGAGCGTTTTTTGTCTTCAGAAACTACAAAATGTGGATGAACTGGAATTGAATGATATGAACTGGAAATATTGCAATTTCAGCATTAGAGTCTCCGTAAAAAGTAATTGATGGTTTAAATTATGTGACTATCAGAATTTTTACAGTTGCATTATTTGCTAATAAAATGCACATTAAAGATCACCACTAAGCTGATATTGAACGTTTTTCATATCTTTATATAAGATCATTCTTAATTTGTTCAACACGTTCTGTCGCAAAATATTTTACAATTACATTTTTTTAAATTTATTAGAAATTCATGACCGGATGGAAAAAACAAATAATTAGTGTTCCTCCAGAAAACAGAGACGCATTGAATTGTACCTCCTACGTCTCGACTATTGGACGGATAGTGTAGGACAGAGTGACGAACGGCAGCACGGACACTCGCAGTTACTCAAATACTTTATAGAGATAAGTTCTCTCCTCTTTGTATCACATCGCACCATTGTTTTTTTTTCTTTTAAGTTCACTCAAAATGCACCTGAGGGGAGGACTTGCTCATTTGCGTCTACCTGCTGTATTAATTAACTCACGTTAACATTAATACAATTTAATATTATATACTACTCTTAATAATATTATTAATATATAACTCCGCATGTACGTAAATAAATCTCATGTTCGTGCTTCCTGTGTTCGTAAGTGTCAGAATATGTCGCGGTATACAATCTTATATATCGTAGACATCTTTAATTAAAATCAGAGTAAACATTTACTTCCTTAGATCCAGAATTGATTTCCATGAATGGACTTCAGATCATTGTGCCTGCATACATCCTTGAACTATTTTCTAGTCTCGAGGTGAGCAACTACTGACCTGTAACGCTGTAACGGATTCAAAGATAGGCAAAGCGCACAAGGGAGTTGGGAGAGGCATTGCATGTAAAGGCTTCTCTAGCCACTGGGGGGTTATTGCAAATCGAATCTTCACCTCAAACATGTTCAAGCTGGTGAGATACTGATTTTAAAGACACCCTTGGTTCATAAGAAACCGTTATCAACATTTTAAGTTTGTTTACTTATATTTTAAAATATTTATTAATATCATAATAATTAATATTTTTATTTAAAATGAAAATTATGTATTACCGTAGATTTACAAAGTATGGTAATACACTGATTGGAAGATGTCACTGATATGACGTACTGTTCCGCTCACCTTCGTGACATAGACACTTTAATTGAATGCATTTTAATATTGTAATGTGGTTTGAAAAGTAGAATGCGTCTGCACTTAAGAACCAATCAGAAAAAAGCTATGTTAGATAGAAGAAACATATTTATTAGCTTTAACTAATCCATTAGCTAAACTATTAGGCAATTATTTCTAATTATTTACTAGTTCCCGATAATAGATTGGTCATAAAGGTACTATTGTGATCTTCGAGTCATGATGAAAATCCCCTCTTTACCGATTTTATTCAAACCTAACAGCAAGAGGCTTTTTATCGAATTTCCAACGCCAAGATCCTCGGCTGACCGCCCAGCCACCCAACCACCCACTCCGCCCTCGTGTGTGGTTCGTGTGTGTATTCGATGAACAAATACAGCTCTCTACGAACATCACGTTGTTTACTCTTTGTGTTCCTTCCTCTCCATTATTCCATGGCCATAGACGTACGCAGCTCAAAACAAGGGAGGGGCCACACTGCAATCGTTGCTCCTTATCCTCTGAAAAATTGTTCAATCCGTTATTCAACCAAAAAAAACTGATTTGGGAGTCATAGGGATTCGTTCTCGGCTCTTAACTATTCGAGTCTCTAAGACCCGGAACCAATCATTCAGTTCTCGCTCGGCAAGGAGCCGAATATATTTTCTAGACTGTGGCCAGAACACGTTTTCTTCATCAGTGTCATTCCAAGCTTGTGATACGGAACAAAGTAAACTATGGTGCTTCAGTACATCAAGTGTTGTACATCAAGTTAAAAGGTAATGTGTACTAAGCAACTTAAAAATGTAAAAGTGTGCAAAACTATATTTAATGGATATAATCAAAGTAAACTTAGTAAATCAAAGTTACATTTTTCGTCTCCTTTTTAACATCACAAATTACGGAACCCCCCATTGGAAATAATGTCAAGTGCGTATTGTACATTTAATGGTGTTTCTGCCCGGGGTAAAGTCATAAAACATAAACGTAGTGAAAGAAAGGACTGTTGAATAATTGTAGAACTGAATAGTAATGATTGCAATTCAAATTAGTTTTTACTGGAAGTATATTGATATGAAACATTAGTCAAATAAATTGGTATTGTATTTTGTAAGTGCAATTAATTATTGTTTTTCATTTCATTGTGGTTTGATTTTGAGGTTAGTTGTTTTTGTGAATTCATTGAAAGAAGTATTTTGAAAATGAATGAAGATGAGAGTAAAACGTCAGAGCAAATGAGAGAACTGTTAAATAAAAACAAAGAATTTGTAAAAGCTAAAGTAACTTCATTCAATAAATACAATTTGTATTTATGAAAATAGAAACATGAAGAAGAGTTTCATCCACTTCAACTAAGAATAGACAACTATCAGTTCATTTGGGAAGAGTTTGAAAATATCCTAGACAACTTCTATAAGTAGAAGATGTAGCTGTTGTTCAAAGAGAAATGGATAGCTTTGAGATGACATTTGTTAACAATTGAGATAAGGCATTAGGTGTGGTTAAAATCTAATTTTGATGCAAGTAAATCAGCTGTATTAGATGAAGATAAAGGAAAATTATCTATACCTTTTGAGAGTAATCAAACACATGCCCTCTAGTGAATTTACCCAAATAAATTGATTAAAATCTCAGGTGAATTTTCCCAATGAGAGAATTTGATAGCAATGTTTCAATCAGTAATAGAAAATAATTATTTGAACATTGAAGAAAGAGTGTGTTGTTTAAAGGGAATAGTGGAGGGTAATGCAGCACAACTTATTACTCCTTTACCCCTCACAGAAGAAAATTCTGACATAGCATTACTTATGCTTACTACTAGATTTCAGAATAAAACTCTGACTACAACTGAAAAAACAAACATTTACCAGTGAAATAAACTGGAATGTTCATCAGCTTTCTTATTCAGGAAACGTTTAGGTACTTTTTTAGACTAATATAAATATGATATAAGTTTTGGGCATCCTATTAAAAAATGTGATATATATGAACTGTGTATCTTGTCTCTATTTAAACTTAGATACACCGCCAACAGGAACAGGAGACTAAGTTTGACTCCTTACCAACTTACAAGCAACTAGTTGAAGGTATTAGCAAAGGATGTATCAAGGAAATCTTAATCAACGGTGCTTAACGACAAGAACTAAAAATTCTTTCTTTGTGTCTTGAGTCTCCCAAATTATTTGCTTCATCTGCTTTTAGAAAAAAATCAGTGCAGAAAATTATCGAGCAGCAAGGATGAAAGCCGAAAATAAGATAATGTGAAATGAGGATGTATAAATGTTAGAAAAGTTTTACATGTTCACTCTAAGGAAAATAGAAAACACAAAAATAATTATTCCATGTCTTTCAGTATTGTCTCAAAGTGTGATGCAGAGAGAAAGGGAAACGTCAAACCACTATTTACTACGACCACAGAATTGTGTAAATGAATCTCGTAAATTTTACAAATTTAAAATAATCTATAAATTTTAGATTGATTGATTTGGGATTCCATCCGCGTCAACCACGAGGGTAATTAGTCCCGTAACTGTAGTGCATGTTGTATCACGGGCAGTGACGGTGATCTTCCCTCGAGGGGTGGCGAGATCCGGCGCCGACCTACATACTTCGTCTTGCGAGATTTTTATTTCACCTGCCAGGTATCTCTTACCAGCGTGGCACCGCCCCAGCAAGGGGCGAGGAAACGGAAAGGAAGAGGAAGGACTGATCGCGCGGGGACGGTGGCCTTTTTGTTAGGGTAGTGGTTTTCAAAGGTTTTGCTGTCGTGACTAGGAAACAAAACTGAACACGATTCCCCTCATTAAAACTAAATTGTTAATTACAACTAAATATTTTTTTTCCTGAAAGTTAAGGCCATCTTGTATTCTTTTTAATTATATACTTACTGTTCACAAAACAATTATTGTAAGTGGTGTGTATTCACTTGTTATTACTAAATTTAATTATGTTGGCAAAATGAGAAAAACTGTAAGGAAAATCATAAAAAACGAACATAATGATACTTGAGAAAAGTGAGATGGATAAGCTTGTTTGGTGTCAGTTCAACAAATCTTTAATTTAGAGCACTAGAGCACGAGAGCACAAATTTCGACGTGGTAGTACGCATCTCATTCTGGAGATTTATTCATCTACATTTTGTCTTGATTACTGCCAAGCTTGAAAATCCGACGTTCTCGCGCCTCTCCTCTGAAACTGTCGCGCCTCACAGGGGACGCACGCCTTCCAGTTTGAGTAACACTGCGTTTGTGTACTGCTCCAGCATTCGCCTGGTGTTGCTCGCAGAAACCCCGGAAAACTGCCGATCAGAGCAGCCGGCCGCTAGAATTCTCCTTCGACAGCGTCTGAACTCGATCCAGCTGACAACCTTAACGAGAGTCCTGCTACTTTCGGACCTATAATCCTAGAACCTCCCGTTAAGATGCTCGGCAGTGACATCACTTGGTACTCCGAGCCACTTTTTCTTTCATAAATTAGGTTTTTATTACAATTGATTGGAATATATTGTAAATATCCCTCTCAATTCCGTGGTGGTAGAAGATATCTTGTGGTAATCCAAAATATGATAAAGGAAATAATCGCCCACATAAGGTTTAATAACTTTTATTAATTATTACCCAGAGTTAACTTTCGGGAAATTCTTTTCCCATCCTCAGTGGATCTCTAGCAGGGAAGAAAAAATTAAAACATTAACGCAAGTTGAACAAAAGAAATACAGTGAATTTAGTGAAAAACAAATAAACAAATAATATCAAATAAATAAAATTGAAAATACTTACTGCCAAAGCAAGGTGGATCACTCATAAATGTTCTTCACCATGGCCAAAAAATATGAAAACTGCAAAACATGCTAGGTACAGGTAGGTGGCAACCATCTTTTGCAATGGAAGAAGAGAAAGCCTACAAATTGAGGGAGGGTGGGGCAGAAGAGTAAAAAGAGTAATCACAAACATATTTAAAATAGACTGCTTTCCACACAGGAATGTAAACAGGACAAAAAATTAGGAATTTTCAATATTCTATAATTTTTAAATTATATAAACAACTAGATAAAGAGATTGCAAAAAGAAAAAATCAGATCAAAAGAATGATAAGGGGCTAGTTAATAAAATATTTAAAATGTGACTGTTTTTAATTAAGGAATGTTCATTCAAGATAGAAAAATTAGTATCTTTGAAAAGTTTAAGAATCTCCAAGTTCTCCAAAATGTTCATTTTCGTGCCTTTGTTGACTAAGTGAAGTATTTTAAAATTATAATTATGGTCAAAGGAATGGTTAAATTGAAGCAATTGATTAGCAAATGTGAAATTGTTTCCAACATCTAATATGCTCATTAATTCTAACTGAAAATGTTCTGTGTGTTTGGTCTACATATGCTGATTTAGTTAGGTGATAAATGCCACTTCTATCAAAAGGGGGGGATAGGTTATTTGGAACTAGGTAATAAAGATTGGAGAGAGTTTAAGGTTTTGTAGGCTACTGAAATTTTGTATTAAGTGAAACATTGACATATATGTTCATATACTGGACTTATGTAGGGGATGAAAATAAATTTCTTTGGTTCTACAGTGCAATGTTGAGGAAACAACTTATATAAAATACTTTTTACACCTTTTTGGTGGATAAATTTGTTGACTGTGAGAGGATCATAACCATTATTTAAAGCAATGGTTAAAATGGTATTGACTTCATTATTGAAATCCATATCGGTCGTAGGAACCAGGAATAGTCTTTGATCCAGGAGTGGAAAACAGCAAATGTGATGATGGTGAATGTGATTAGAATTGGATTCAGCTGTATGAGTAGGTTTTCAGATACACTGATACCTTCCTATTCCTAATTTTCTGTCCTGTTTACATTCCTGTATTGAAAATAGTCCATTTTATATCTGTTTATGACTCCTTTTTCTTCTCTTGTTCCCCCCCTCTCCCACAATTGGTAGGCTTCCTCTTCTTCCATTCTAAAAGATCGCTGCCACCTAGCTGTACCCAGCATGTTTTGCAGTTTTCATATTTTTTTTGGTCATGTTATGAACATTTATGAGTGATCCACGTTGCTTTGGCAGTAAGTATTTTCAATTTTATTTATTTGATATTATTTGTTTGTTTGTTTTTCCCTAAATTCATTGTATTTCTTTTGTTCAATATGTGTTGGTTTCAATTTTCTCCCCCTTGCTAGAGACCCACTGAGGTTGGGAAAAGTGTTTCCCGATAGTTAACTCTTTGGTAATAATTAATAGAAATTATTAAACCTTTGTAGACGATTATTTCCTTTTCCATATTAATGTCCCTCTACATTACAAAACTGGATAATAGTAGTAGTCAATCAAATATTTTGGTATCACTACCTATCATTGACTTCCATATTTATTTCCAAAGAGTGACAGAAATGCTGTTAGTAATTTTATCGGTTACCTTTCTTACCGGCAGTGCAAGTAAGCAATCTAACTTTAACGGGAATCCCAAGAAGATACATTTTCTGGCATTTAACTGGGGTTATTTTTCAGGATATTGTTTGTGACATGACGCACTAACATCTACATATAATAGGATTGTTAATGTAGTATAACATCATTAGGGAATAGAAAAGGTGTTCTATTTGAAGAGAGAAAATATAACTACATTAAAAAAATGTTTTATTTAATTGTTACATTTCGCAATGTAAGGTACAGAGTGGGGAGCGTTTCGCCTCATCCGTGCACCTTGAGGCCAGGGGAGCCCGATGAGGCCCGGCGCCCCGGATGACGGCGGCGCCCCCGATCGCCGTGCGCGCCCAGGAGGCCGGGGCGGCGATGAGGCCGGGGCGCCACACGGCGGGGCGACGGAGGCGCGGCACCACGGCGGGCCGGCCACCACGGCGGCGCGCCCCAGCAGGCCGGGGCGCGTGGGCGGCGCCACGGCGCAAGCAGCCACGATCTGCAACACGCGCCCTCAGTCCTCAGTCCTCACCCGCCCTCCTCCCCCCTCACCCACCCCGCCCCCCTGCGCCACTCACGCAGCTTGAACATGTTTGAGGCGGAGGCTGAGGTGCACAGTGCCAGGCGAGGGGCAAAGCCTCGTATTATAGGCGGAGGCCGCCCCCCCTCACCATCACCGCTCCACCACTACTTTGTCTAGGCGACGCGAATGGGCAGTTCTAGGACGACCACATTGTCGACTCACTTCCCGTATATACGTTTTAACTGTTTTGCTGCGTTATTAAGAAAAAACTTTGGTAGAAAATCCTTTATTTATATTTGTTATACGCATCCAGAAAACAATGTTTTTTACGAGATTTTGTAAACAAATTACTGCAATTAGCAGTTATGGAGTAACATGAGAATATTTACATATTTCGTTTCAACATAACTGGTCACTTATAACTTATGATTTCTTTATGTTTCGTTAAGAGGAGTTAGTCTCAATGTTTTTTCTTGTAATGATCTTAACATGTATATTTTTTATAAAATTAATTAAGTTGGTGCTAAAGAGTTTTTGAAAGTCGATTGCAATGTCAGGTTACAAACACAAATTCTATTTATTTTTATTTCATATGCCCTTCAGGTAACTGTGAGTATTTCTGGCATTGATTTTGTATATCTTAACTACTTTAAGAATAGTGTTCAATACCATGATTGTCTATTACAGAAAGTAATTATAGTGCAGCAAATTGGCACAAATTTTATATTTCTCGCTTGTTTCATTTTTTAGCTACGTCATGATTTACAGTTTTACCTACCCTCCCTTCCTGCTGACATTCATCTGCTTTAATTTCATTCCATTGCGCCCCACGTAAACTTCCACTCCTCAGTGGATCACATCCAAGAAAGACCTTCCTATACTCCCCAACATTGCAGCGAGGTACCCCTGATAGATCTCCGTTTTATGTCACAGTTAGAGCCAGGAAATTTAGGAATTTATTTTACCTACATAGGCAGGCAAAGAAGGAATTTATTATTACGAAAATAGGCCTGCAAATTGGAATTTATTTTGACTATTGTAAGGGTGGAAAAATCGAGTAACAATCAAAAGTTGCCACCAATCTGAATGTATAAAGAAAACGATGTTGTCTTCATGCCTGGTTGTTTTTTGTATAGTCCTGAGGATGGAATTAATGTAACTTGAAACGTCGTCAAACTAATGGTTTACTTGTTTCTACTCACTCTCACCAAATCCGGTGAACTACATTCTTCATTACATAATGAGCGTGAATTGTACAATTGTTCACAAGAGTTGAAATGAAAAGAGTAGTAAAAATATTATTATCTCGAAACGAGTAATTTACGGTCTAGTTTAATAAAATAAGTACCACAAATTGAAGTTTTAACACTCGGTGAATGGATAAAAACTGAAATATTTTGAAAAGGATACTTCAGAATAAAAACCAAACTTATATTCGCGGTATCTTTACAGTGAATTTTGTTGACAGAACTCCAGAGCTACAATAGATTCCTCCGTATTCAGCCAATAAATATTGCATCACTCAAATTATATAAACACTTTTCTTTTTGTTAATTACTTTACTTACCAGATTGAACAAAGTGATAAATGTTAAATGCCTGCAAAAGAGAACATTGATTCTTGAGTACGTTACAACAGTATACGTGTACTCGTACGTATGATAGTTACGTGGGGCAAATAACCTTGGTTCGGTTCTCGACATCCGAACAACTACTGAAAGTCGATCGCGACCTTAGGTATCAGGGCTGATTGCATGACTGATGTTATTGCAATATCTATCTGCAGTAGTACCTTCTTTGAATTTCATTGCAGACATTTTTCAGAAGAATTAACTAACGATTCAAGGAGAGCATACGTTTAGATGTTTGCATCAGTGCGCATGGATTGATTGATTAATCAGTGATTCCGGGGACGTCAACTGCTAAAATCATTAGTCTCGTGCGTGTAGTGCACGCTTTATCGAGAGAGGAGGCGGTTATCTTCCTCCAGGAGATCCCGCGCCGACTTACGTGTCAGCTCGCAGGTGTTTTCCCAACCAGGTATCTCCCACCAAGAAGGGATGTTTACCTCTACAGGGGTAAACATTAAGCTCCCGACTTCTCTCCTGATATATGCGATAGTGTAGTGCATGTAGGTCTAAGTTTGCTTAAGTAAGGGGTGAGAATAGGACAAGGAAGAGGAAGGAAAGATCGCGCGCGGTCTGTGACATGTTCGGATACTGCTCAGGCATTCGCCTGGTATCGATCGGTAAAAACACGTAAAACTACCGATCTGAGCAGCGCTTAGAATTCTCCTTGAGACAGTGGCTGTAGCTCTCAAGATAGTGTCGAAAATCCTTCCATCGTCGGAACTCTATCACTAGAACCTCCCAAACAGAGACGCTACAGTGACATTAATCGATACTCTGAATCACCTAGATCAGCAATGAATTGGGAAGCAGCTGTGGCTCGTGCTTAGGATGCATGGATGCAAACCCTCCAGATAATAAGAAAAGATCATATATTACGGTAAGGGACAATTTTCCTTTTAATGGCGTTCTATACTATAGATATTGCACCAAAATTGATACGTATGAAATTAAAGAGCGCCAAAAGAGAGTTCTGTTCAGCGTCTGGTACTCGCCCAGACAGTGCACAACATCACCCTCTCAAGCTGCTTCATCACAAGGCCCTGGTTGTGTTGGCACCGCAACTACTCATTCCCTTGTACTATATCTGGGGGTTATTTGGACCCCGTCGTAATTAATTTGTTAATATTTTTCTAAAAACTTGCAGGATGATTTTGTGTCTTCTTGATATGCCTTTGTGCACAAATTAAGCAGGTACCAAACCATTTTAACATATTTTCCAATTTGCATTAAACATTTTTTTTCGTTACATGAGACTGGTTTGACATAAGTTGTAATTTATTTCTTCATTTGCACTTGAAATATCGTGTCATCAACTACAAAAACTGTGTCTGATACAGTCAATATTTGTTTTGTCTTGAAGTAACTTTCAAAACCTATCATAAATATTTCTGAAGCTTTGTCTCAACAATGCAGGTTAGGTACGGTAGAGGTTAATTTTTAAATGAAATAATTAACACGAGTAAATTGTCTTTATTATGTTATTGAAAATCACTTTAAAATGAAAACTTATATAAAAACAATAATTTACACCAATTTTATTTTTACACCACAATTTATTGATTTTGCAAAACACGCTAATGTTTACCACCTCCAATTTACTGTAAAGCTTGGGGTCCAAAAAGACCCCAGGTATAGAACTTGATTATAAACTGCAGAGGGCTATATATTTGCAGCACCGCAACACGCCACCGGCGTGTGCGCAGAAGGGAGCGGGTGTTGAGTATGGCTGTAAGACGCAGTGCGGAGTGCAAGGAGAATACAAATTTTCTGTCTTCGTCTGAAACTGAATTTCATGAATGAAAATGAATTTCATGAATTTCGCGTGTTATTTAAAGAACACAAGCTGACCCTTATTCACCGTATTGAATGAATTATTTATGATTTTGGAGAATTTATTTTCTTTTAATGTTATATTTGTTGATTCAAGATGTACATTTGATGAGTCCTTGACGTAAACTTGGTCGTTTTGGAATAAAATCCTTCTCCGGGGTATGAAACGATCTTTCGGGTCATTTTGAACGACAATGCAAGTTTATGTGTCATGGATGTGAGTGTGTATGTGTTAGTGCACGTGGGGAAAATCTTTCATTATTGAAACATAAATCAGGGTAGTGAAAGATTCGAAAAAAAATATTTCGTTATCATCACCATTAGTGGAAACAATGACACCAAAGATTACGAAATGAACAAGTGTAAAACGTTCCAAAACAATAATGCTTGTTGCAAAGTGCTGGAGTGCGATCACTCTATTTTCTAAACCTAATTCGTTTTACTTTTGTTTGAATTCTATTACCTGCAATTGTCTCATTACAGAGTTCATGCAACCACCTCCAATGTTCAATGGAAATCAAAGCCACAACCATGTGCGTGAGAGGCGAACATACCAGTCTCGGATCCTACGCATACAATTATGTAAGTAATGTTTGAATATATACTTGAATTGTTACGTTACATGAATTGTTTACGTTTTATAATACGAGTATATTAGCGTACTGATTTCATCATGCCATTCTATGGAGCAGCAACTGCAGTTTGTTGGGGTACCAACCACCACTATGTGGAAATATATTAGTAGAATAAGAAACTGCAGATAAATTGCAAATAGAATCAATATTCAGTTGACTGGATTCTTTTTAATACTGAATGCGGAGTTGAACTTGCAAATGCTATCAAGGAACTAGAGAAAATATAATAACACACTACATTAATACTTAAATAAAATATATCCAGATTGCCTTACTGGAAAAAACACGAACAAATAACCACAATTTACGTTTATTGAACACCAATACAAAAGTGACAGAAAATTGTAAAAGACTTTTTTAAACATGTTCTCACATTAAATACAATATTTAGATGACCTCTCACAATCGAGTCTAATACTCCTATCCAAGTAAAATAATGAAAAAATGTGAAACCATTTTTACATTTCACGCACAATTACAGAAAATCAAGTTCTATTCTCGAATAATTTTTCGTGAATTTATTTCAAGAGCTGACTTTGCAGAATAGTTATTATTCATGAAAATGGTGATGAACATACTTTCTCGCTTTATATTTAACTTTTCAAAAATTCGAAACGTTCAACGAAATATGACCTGCGCCATTTTTTAGTGCCATTTCCTTTTCACGAGGTTCACAACTGTTTTGAAAAAATGTTTCTCTAAAAATTTTTGTGAACTTTACCTATATATTACGGAAAAACTATGAGATTTTCAATAAAAAAAAATTGTACATTCCTTTCCTAAATATATTATAATTACATATATATATATATATATATATATATAATATATATATATATATATATAATATATATATTAAGACGGGTATTCAATTCAGGAAACATTCTAGTAAATGCACTTTGCGCCCTTCATTTTCTGGAGTTTTCGAAGAACTGAGAGTTCAAATCGGAAAAATGGGATATTAAATAAAGAAAAGGAATTTTATAACAAGGGAAACAAGAAAAAGATTGACAAGAAGTTTCGCACAAGTCATCGTTGTTATAATTTTTCACTGCTAAGCGTACAGAGTGGGGAGCGTTTCGCGCTCATCCGTGCACCTTGAGGCCCAGGCGAGCCCCGATAGGCCCGCGCCCCGACTACGGCGGGCGCCCGATGACGCCCGTGCGCGCCCAGGAGGCCGGGGGGCGCGATGAGGCCGGGCCGGCCACTCGGCCGAGTGGGCGACGCGTGTGTGATCGGTGTTCGACCGAGCAACCACGGCGCGGGCCGGCCACACCACGGCGGGCGCGGCCCCAGCGAGGCCGGGGCGGGTGGGACGCGCGGCCACGGGAGAGCACCGCATCGTATCTGCGCAACACGCGCAACTCCAGTCTCAAGTCGTCCTCAGCCCTCCCTCCCCTCGCCCTCGCTCCTCTCGCACTGCGCCACTCACCAGCTTGAACATGTTGAGGCGGAGGGGCTGAGGTGCACAGTGCCAGGCTAAAGGCAAAGTCTCGTATTTATAGGCGGAGGCCGTCCCCCCTCACACCGCTCCACTACCTCTTTGTCTAGGCGACGCTAATGTCTAGGACGACCACATTAACCCTTTGCTTTCTCTAACGGTGTTCCGTGCTCAAATGCGCTAATCTATTAAGACGATGAAATATTATTTGAGTATTCTACTCCTGAAATTAAAAATAATAGTGTTAAATGATTCTTGAGCGCTCGTGCCATTTACTACCACATACGCGATCACGGGGCGGTATTATTGCCGCCGACGAACATTTTTTTCTTTTCTCAATATTATAATTTCTCTTGATCGTTATTCATGGGGAATTTATTAAATATCATCAACTGGTCATTGTAGTAGATTAAAAGTTTATTGAAACAATTTAAATATTATCCATAAAAAAGAAGATATTTTTCTAACTTAGCTTCTACGAAAATTATGATAAAAACATGCAATATAATAATGACATAATAAACATTAAAATTAAACTCGAAAGTAGTAAGCAAGTGAAAATCGAATAAGTAAGATGAGAATGGTAAAGAGGAGACAGAATGGACAAATGGTAGCTAAATATGTTATAGTAAAATATATGTTAAATGTAAAAAAAAATATTAAAGTAGTATTAGGAATCTTGATTTCTATAATCTACTACAAATTTCGCCTAATGATTACCAATTTAATTTAATTTTCACAATAATGAGCTTTAGAGATTTGATTGATTGTGACATTTTCATTTCAAAATATAGGAAAATACATTTTTATTTCGAAATATACTATCATAATCATCACTAGATCACATAATCTAGAAAAGGAACTGGAATAGGCGCAATCGCTAGACGGTGCAAAAAATGGCGAAGCGCGAAAAATGATAAGGTTGGTCAATTAGCGCGAATGAGGCGCAAATGTGAGGGGGGGAAGACGTTACCGCTATCTTAAGACTCAATAGATGACTAGGGAATACCTTGCTTCCTGCCATGCTGAATTCAAATATGTAGGCGCAGCGCGATAGTTTATTAAAATTTGTTTTTTTCTTGTAAATTATAAACTGCTTTAATTGAAATTTAAAAGAAATAGTTCAGGCAGAGTACCAGAATATTGATGGTAATGGAATATTGATAGGGAGCAAAACGTGTGTGCCTCTCTATCCGTCGTTCAAATATCTCTTTGCTTTCAAATATTTCAAAAGTTCGATGTTTGCGAAGCTTTTCCTCAACTACAGTATCGAGTAAAGGTAGAGAAAAGTGCAATTACAACTAGGTGACGTTATTACAAAGTGGCGGTAAGTTAGTAAACCGAGCTATAATAGAGCTATAACCGAGCTAGAAAATAATAGGGTTATGAAAACAATTAACCCTTTTTTCATTTAAATCTTTCAGTATAAAGTTGATTCAATTTTCTTCAAACTCCAATTATATATTTAATATTGTTTCCAATGAACTATTTAATTACATAATGTTTAGTACCAGATATCTAACGGTTGTGGGTAAGACTTCGGTAGTTGCCAATGTAATTTACAAAAATATTGTATTGATAACTCTTTTTATAACATACTTTTGATATTTACTAAAAAACAAATACTTGATTAATTAATTGGGGGTGGTTAGAATGCAGACGTCTCCTCTCTGTAGGGTTTACCTTTAGAGGGGTTTTCGTCGCTGTAGCTTTTACTGTATTTTCCTCGGCTTTAAGACAGAAGAGGAAATGGAAAGAGACAGAAGAAGAGGAAAATCTGGGATGACTATGAAAGGCCAAAGACAGTAGAGATTGGGCTTTAAAATATCTTTAGAGTCTCTTCGACCCATCCACAATGTACTACGTAATGTTTTGAAGATTAGTAATAATTGATAACTAAATAATAATTGTTTGCCATTTTAGTAAAAAAAGAAGTATTCCATCAGTAAGTTTTCACATCGTACAGATATGTCGTTTCTTTGCCAAATAACTTATAATTTTACGAGTAATGTAGAGATAATTGTAAAAAGATGTTTTCTTAAGTATAGTTTTTAATCGTAGTGGAGAGTGCCATATTTTTTCCGCGCCCGTTAACATTTCTTTGCCTAAACAAATATTCGATGATGTGCATGTGAACAATTTAAATTGGAATTCCAATAGCCACTTGCAGAGACCTTTCGAGAATTGCGATTTGGTATATTTTGTCCTGTTATTTGTGATCTATAGTTGACAAGAGTAAAGCAAACATTATTAGTCGTTTACACTAATCTGTTTGTAAGTATTAAACGTATGTGTTCGGAAAACACACGGTTAATGTTTATCTTGCGTGATGGATCTTTACTTCCAATAGCCCTGAAATCATGAATGTTCGATTGCGTGTAGAATGACAAATAAGGCTTTCACAATTGCAAACCAATTGGCATATTTCACGAGGAGTTCAACTCATGCGGATGTATTTCATGACAGAAAGTCCAGTTAAACGTGAGTAAAATAAATTTTGTTTTGAAAATATCTTCTGAAATATGTCAGATATATTTAATTTATAATTTTATCTTTGTTTTGAATAATATGTATGATTGTCTATTTTTTGACTATGTATGATTAAGAACCTATTTTGATGCTAAATTATGACCTCCATTTATGATTTGAAGTACATTGTTTTACTAAAAACACGAGAACTATGACGAATTTCTTGTCAATATTTAACAGTTCCGCTTGTTATCAAAAGATTTTTATTTACTATGATGTTGATGTACTTGTTTTCTGATGCCAATTTTTACATACTTCGAATATTTCATGCACGTCTGCCTTCAATTTTCAAATATTTTGTATTATTCATAGCTGTATTGTATTGTAATACGATACGAGTATTAATATTAGCATACAGTATACATTTATTAATAATTTAGCTAATTTCATTAGTCCTTAGATGTAGTGCATGTGCTGCGCAGGAGGAGGCGGTGATCTTCCTCTGGATGGCGAGATTGGACGCCGACCTACCCGTCACTTTGCGAAGTTTTCCCTCAACCAGGTATCTCCCACCAGTGAAGCACCTCCTCAGCCGGGACGAGCACTAAGCTCACGTCATGTGTGGTAGTGTAGTGCGTGTTAGTGTAAATGGGTGTAAATAAGGGATGAGGATGGGACAAAGATGAGGAAGGAATGATAGTGATCTGCGTTCCGTTTATAAGGGTGCTGCTCCGGTATTTGACTGGTGTTGATGTGGAAATCTAAGGAAAATTACCGATGAGAGCAGCCGGTCGCTAGAATTTTCCTCAGAAGGCGGCTTAGCTCCACCCAACTGCGTTGCTGGTGTCGATATTTCTGCGATCGTCTGGACTCGAACACTAGAACCTCGATCAAGTTTTCTTATTCTTCTACCTTTTTTCTCGAAAAAGGTCATCTATGTATTCATCAGTAAATTTGCCAACAATAGGAGGAATGTACACAGCACTAATCGTATTGCAGTGTTTAGGTGAACATCCTCCTTTTATATTGAGATATGT